TGGACAAATCAAGAGAAAAAATATTTATTTTCGTGAGGAGTAATAAATATACTTGTAGGGAATACAGTCCACTCTCTCTATGTATAATGAATCTTTCTATAACAGAATGGACTGAGAATTTATATGCCCCATATATTATCAATGTTCATAATGGATCCTCTCCATAACGGACATTTTTTCCTAATACTAAGCCAAATGGTCCGTTATAGAGAGAGTGAACTGCGTATACTGGCGAAATATTTTGCACGGAATGGTGATAATTAAACCCTCTGTGTGGAAATTGTTTACGAGTACAAGCTAAACCTATCTAAAGTTAATTTGATGTCAGATGTGCTCAAAATGGTAGAGAAAATGGCGAGTAAGTTGAATGAAAATGGTAAAATAACTTCATCAAAGGATATGTATTATACAGATTTATTGTCAATTGAAATGTGGCTATGAAAGAACTCACCTTGTTGAGTATTTAAGTGATAAAACTTTAAACAAGAGAGGTTGATTAAAACTAAAACTGAGCACTCACTACATTGTCTGATTGGCTTATAATATGTAAATAGTAAATCTAATGATAAATTATATAGATCAAATTCAAAACGAAGTACATTAAAGGCAAAACCTTTGTATACTTGGCATCATTGGAAGCGCTACTGCAAGAAAGAAGATTGTATATTTTTATTTTGTTATTATTGCTATAATATGTGACGCAGATCATTTAAATTCCAACATTTTTATCGTGAAACTTTTTATTAGTAAACAAGATTGCTAAAATAAACTACATCTTATATTAAAGTTTTCGATTAACTTTCTCGAGTCTCATATTCTGTCAAAACACCTTTTGAACAATTTATCTGAAAAAAATCAATTTTAGGTTGCGCAAGTTTTCCAAGAAGCTTGCTCTGCTCAATGATACATGGCTTGGCCTTCGGCAGATGGATTATGATTAAACAATATTTCTTTCAGGCCGTTATGGCACAAAAGAAATCAACCTTTTAGCAGACAGAATATTTCCCGTACGACTTAATTTGCTAAAAAGGTGAAGACAATCGTGGAAATAGAAATAACTAATTAAGAATTAATCTGCAAAATCGGCAAAAAATTACGAAATTTAGAAAGAGAATGTGACACGGCAAACTTTCGATTTTTTTTTCGTTAAAGTAAATAATAGAATTAATACTAATAATACTACTAATAATAAACGTACTTAAAAATGGTTAGATTAACGAGAAGTAAAGCAGCAATGAATTATGGCCAAACTATTAAAGAAGAAGACGATTCTTCTAGATCGGTAATCAAGGGAAAAAGATCAAGGAAAAAAATTATAGAATCAAGTCCTGCAAATAACAATAACAATAAAAATAGCAACAACAACAACAACAACAACAACATTAGCAGTGGCAGTAGTGGCAGTAGTGGTGGTAATAAAAAAAAATTTAAAATTAATACTTATACCACTAATTCAAAAGCAAAGGAAGTTGACAACAAACCAAAGGTATAATAAACATAATATAAAAATAATAAAAAACTATTCGAAAATTATGCTTGAATGTTTATTAAGTTTTTTATATTAGACTTTACAAGACAAATTATTAGATATATGGAAAGTAATACGCTTTCACAAAGACGGAAGGTAAGAAAATACATTTTTAATGTTATATACGATTTTAAATTTTTTTATTAAAAAAAATTAAAAAAATCTAGAAATCGATCTATGTCAAAATTATTTATTGTGTTGCCAGATAAAAATGAATATCCGGATTATTATTTAGAAGTATATATAATTAAAATTCTAAATTTAAAATTAAATCCAAACTGAATATTAAGCAATTAAAAATTTTATTTTACTTAGATAGAAGATCCCATCTCATTAGAAATAATTAAGGTTTTAAATCAAATTATTATTATTATTATTATTATGAAAAACTTATTTATTGATTTATTTCATTTTCTAAAAGAGCAAAATAGAAAATCATGAATATAGAGATGAAGATGATTTTGTGAATGATATGGATTTAATGTTTAATAACGCCAAGAGATATAATGTAGAAGGATCACAGATTTATGATGACGCTGTAACCTTATCGGTAAAGCAAATACATAAATATAAATATTCATACGTATAAAAATATTAACTTTTTTCCATTTCACAATTATTAGAAACTAGTATATAAACTTATTGGTGGTAAATTTGAAAACGAAGAAAATCAAACTTACAAAATTTTACAAGAGATAGAATATAAGGGAGAAACTTATTTTGTTGGTAAGATTACAAAATTAAATTTACAATAATATATAATTACACATAAATAAATAGAATAAAATGTATTCAATATATATTGATT